GCGGTGGGACAGTGGGATAGGGCCCCAGACAGCGGGACAGAGCCCTACACCCGGTGATAGGTGTGTCCCTATTGACTCTCACCGCCTGCCTTGCCCCCAGGGAAGCGGAAGATCCACTACCTGTTCGAGGATGGGATGGAGATGGCCGAGGAGTATGATGTGAAGACAGGCCAGTTAATGAGTAAGTGGTGCTCTCAGCCTACCCCCAGCACGCGTGGGTCGGAGTTAGAACTGCAGGCTCAGGGCAGTGGGTCTGCACTCTCAGTGAGAGGGAGTGCCTGGTCAGGAACATATCACCCCGACATACGCTGGGAGATAGGAGTTCCTGTAGCAAAATTTTTTAGGAACATACATTCAGTTTGCAGCCAGGGCTCTCTGACTTCCATGGCATAGCAGACCTTGCTTTAGCCCAGGATCTCCCCCAAACAGCTCATCTGTCACAACAGACTTGGATGGACTAGATGGAATTGTTGTCGTGGTTGCCAGGCATCAAGTCTGTGCCACACGCAGGGCTGAAATGTGCTTTTCCGTGGCTTCTGCAACCACAAACAAGTAAGGTGTCAGTCATGGCTCTTGTCCAAAACCACATCAGGTGCAGCATGGCACCTGTTGCAACCCCACCATGGCTTCAGTACCAAGTAGCAAAAAGAGAGGCATTCCATACAGAATTTCCAGCTCCAGGAGTGGAGCAGACCAGCTATCAGATCCACTCACACCAAACCAGAAACTCCTGGACTTAAGATATGTATCTTCATATCATCTCAGCCTGCTGGGCAGCTTGGGCAGTCAGTTGCTAGAGTTTTTATAGAGCAGAGTAGTGAAAACCCTTCTTCCTTCCACAGGTAGAAAATGGCGAGAGAAGAACACCCTTGGGGGCTCTGGCAAGTGGCAGGTGGAAGTGGGAGAGCCAACCTCACCACTCCTGGGAGCACTGGAGTCAGAGTTCATAACAGAGAGCAGTTCAAATGTATGTAAGGGTCTGCACCTAAAACTACCTAGTCTCATGCTTACAGCAGTAGTTGGTAGAGTGCAGATCACCCATAGCCCCAAGAGACAGCCTTGACATGCCCAGCACTCTACTACAGATCATGCCAAAGCTGCAGGGCTGGGTAGAAAGAAGGCACGGCTCAGGTTCTTTGGGGGTCTTCAGGAGATTCGTGTTTTCCTTGAGTAAAGAAACTGCACTGATGTGTTGACCAGCTACTGTCCTGACATCTGAAAGAGCAGGCTGACAGGAAGGCCAGTGCCAGGACAAGGTGGGATGGAAAGTGGAGGTGATGGCCATGAAAGGCTGAAACAGGCAAGGCATAGCAGGCTGGTCCTTAACAGAGCACAGCCTGTTTGATCTTCACACGCCTCTAGCTTAGGGAGCAGACATTTTAGTCTCTCACTGTCTTTTCTACAGGTGTGAAATGCAAGCACAACTCTGCGCAGCAAATTGGGGCAGAGCCAGGACTGAATCCAGCAGGTCCCTAGAGCAGGCAGAGCTCAGTATTCTGTTGCCTGTGAGGAAGAGGCCCAGTTTCCCTGTAACCTTGTACTGCAAGACTCCCTCACTGAACACTTTCAGTCTCCTGCGAGCAGGACAGGCAGTGTCCTGTGCGAAGGCAGAGCAGCACTAAGTCTAGGAAAGTGGTGCTCAGACAGTTTCTTGAGTTACTCCCTAATGCTCCAGTGTGAAAGAAGAGCTTCTCCCACGTGGAGTCTCTCAAGGCAGTACAGGAAGAAGGGAACAGGGAGGAGAGGAGAAAGCTGTCATGGCCTTACTAAAGGTACTTGTTTACTGTAGCCTGTCTTCATGAGGAAGGATACCCTGAGCAGCTTCCAGTGGCGAATCCGTAACCTGCCCTACCCCAAGGAGGTCTACAGCGTCTCCGTGGAGGAGGAGCAGCGCTGCTGTGTTGTTCGGACCACCAACAAGAAGTCAGTAAGGACAGCACTGCCAGTGCTGACAGTCCCTCGGGGTGGGCTGGCACAGAGGGCAGGCACAGGAGGGGTTGTCCACTCTTGCCTTCTATCCCTAGTGTGCAAGGGCTGAGGGGCCCCACCCTGCAATACCTGTCTCCTGCTGCCCCATTTGCACTTCCAGCTGTCCCAGACACATTTAGGGTCTGCACTGGCCTTTGCAGACTCGTCTCTCAGTTCCAGTAGCGTGATGTTTGCTCTGTTTTTTACCTGTCAGATGTTACTCCCTTAGCAAAATGAAAAGCGAGCCTTGCAGACCATTTGAAGGTAGAGCATACCATGGTTTCTCTATGATACAATACTTTGATCTAGTCACTGCATCTCAGAATACTGCAGGATTCAACAGGTACAACAGAGTCTTGGGCACCCAGACAGACAGATCTCCCTGTCCTGTAGTCACAGTGCCAATGACATCATCTAGAGGTAGCAAGCAAAAAAAGACAGACCAAAGCTGGAAAAGAAGCATCACAGTGTTCTACCAAAAGACACTTGAGAGTGAAGGGAAGAAAAAGAAAATGCTTTTTAAGTATCATCTTGTAGCGTGTGAGTACGTGGCATCTCTCATGGAATGAGGCACACACTGTGCCCCAAAGCATTTACAGCCTCAGGTAAGCCAGGATGAGTGGTAATACTGGGAAGATTGGGCACGGAGCGAGCCTTGGGAGCGCAGGGGAGGATATTGGAAGCGAACGGCGCTCTCTGCGGAGGGCTGTAGGTGGCGATGTCGGCACAGACCTGCGGTCCGTCTGCTGCCGAATCCCCCCGGCTCTCCCGGCAAGGCGCGAGCAGCTGCTCGGCAGCACACCTGGACAGTCAAAAACAGGAGAAGGCTAGGAAGAGGAGTCTACCCCATGGAAACGGCAAGTAATTACAGCTCTAATACAGAAAGATGCTGGCTTAAATGCATGCAGAGGGATTTACAGATTCTTTAATAGGGAGCTTTAATAGGGAGCAAAGAATGAATGAGATTCCCATCAGCCACACATGGATACACATGGAGCTGGGACATGTCCTAAATCAAACCACATACTATCACAGACAAGCTAATCTATTCCCAGTCCTGTTGGTAGTAGTGTATATGTGGGAATTTCTTTGCCTGTATAGGTGCTGTAAGGTTATTATGTACCACTGAGGCTTCACCCATGCCAGACCTGCCTTTAAGCTTTGTACCACTCTCAGAAAACCAGCAGTCCCCCACAAGCAGTTGACACTTGCAGTCTCATACACTATTGTCAGAGAGAGATGAAGGATGTAACAGTGAGTGAGCCATGGCCTGTGTATGATAGTTAAGGACTTTAGGAATTAAAGCTGAAAGTTGTCTCATTGGAGACAAGAACGACTTTGCTGACAGTAGGGAGCAGGGACAGACTCCAGCACTAGAACACTTAGTACAGGCTCCAGGATATCTTATATCATTTCTCCTGGGTCTTGGCCAGGGCAAGGCACCACTCAGCAACTAATTCCAAGATAGCAACAAAGGCACAGAGTCCACAGAGAGAGCACACATCACTACGGGAGAGAAAGGAAGCCTCGGAGCCTCTCCAGCCCTTGGAAGTCAGCCACGCTGCTTCTGAGCAGCAGAGCTGTGCTGACCGCCAGCCAGAGGCACAGGCAGCAGCATGGGCTGCCAAGTCACTACTGAGTAGCTCAGCTCTAAATTCTCAGCATACCAGTAGCAGTTTTCCCTGCAGGCTGACAAAAAGTGGGTTTCCAGTAGGAAAATAATAGAGGTGATTTCACATACGTACTGTGGATCTCGGGCCAGGACTCAGGCTCGGAGTGTAATACTGCCCTTGGCCATGGGGTGAGAGGCGAGGGCAGAGAATCGGCCTGCCTCAGCAGGGATAACCCATCAGCTATCTTTCCGGCCCAGACAGGAGCTCTTCACTTCCACCAGTCACTCCTGTTCCCTCTGGCCACGGCAAGGGCTGCTCAAGTGGGATTTGCTTAAAACCTCTTGCTGTAAAATAAATCCATTAAACTAAACTCTAAAAACAAACCGAGAAAGCCACCTCCCCAAACGCCAAACCTGATTCAATTATTGTAGCAAGAGGCAGTGGTAATGTTAGGAGGAGGAGGGGGTGGCCAGGCAGATCTGGTTTCCTTTGATCTTGTCACAGATTTTAGTTTGAGGCCAGCCAAAGCCATTCTTCTCCCCTTCTCCTTAGTCCTGGGGCAGCAGAATGCTGCTGTTTCATTGATGACTCCCAAGGCCCTTTGAAACAGTGGGTTTTTTTCTGTGTACTGCTTTTTTTTTTGTCTAATCGGTAAGAAGTTAACACTTCCTTAACATGTCTTTGTGTTCATCTAATCTCTGCTGTTTAACCTTTGACATCTCCCTTATTATCCATGTCTGCCACCTTTTCCAAATACCGACAGCAGTGACAACACAGAACGGTTTGAGCCCTGCGGTAACAAGCCGCGTACATTCCTCCCACTGCACCGGGAAAGCCATTTGCCCTTTGTAGCTGTTTTCACCGTGACTTGGAAAATAAACTGCAATTTGGGTAGAGGTAGCTGGGGAGGCCAAGCCTCACACACAGCCAAGCTGAATGGAGAACCACCCCTCATGGCATGACAGCAGTTTGCTGCCTGTTCCCACTCTGCTCCAGGAACCTCAGTACCAGCTACAGGTCAATTCCTTGAAGAGGATTGCCCACAAGGGTGCTAAAAGAGATTAAGAATCCAAACATACCTCTGTGTGGGCACAGGACCACTAACTAGTGTATTTGGTGCAGCCCCAGAGAGAAGCAGTAGATGCAGGGCGAACAGTGCCAAGCCAAGAAAGGTCTCGGGCAAACATAGTCACAGGTCTACAGGGTTCTGGCCCTGAATTCTTAGAAAATCTTTTAGCTGCCTACAGTTTATAATCCCTTCAGTTCCAGGACATATCCCCTTCATACTGAGCAAAGACCAAGCTTTGGTCAGTGGAGAGACACAGGCTGACAGGGAGCTGGCAAAAACCTCTCTGTCTTCTGCTTGGATATGAGTGGTTATCAGAAGACTGGGACAGAGACCAGGGAAAGCACAACTTGGAGAGTTGGAAGTGCAGAGGAGCACCACAGCCACCATGGAGGCTGCACAGAGATGCTGCAGAGCAGAGGCTCAGGTGACTGTGGGCAGCTACACCTGGAGATCTGTGCTCAGGAATATGCCTGAGCACCACTGTGCCACCAAAGGCAAGGAGTTATCTAGGAAGCACAGCAAGAAGTCAAAAAGATGGGTTTAGGAAGAATTGCAACACAAAATGGTGCATCACTAAGGAAAGTAAGTCACAGGGCACGAGTTTTGACTAAAGGGAGCTGCTCCTTAGAGGGAGTGAGAGCCCATAAGCAGGAACAAAGACAAGGGACACCTCTTGGTAGGGCTGAGTAGTCTGTCCCTAACCATATCTGGCACTTGTTAAGGGCAAGCTGGAGGAACCAAGCCTGCTCTCACACACCAAAGCCCTTCAGGACTTTGCCAGCTCTGATTTCCAGTTTGGAGGTTTGTTTCTAGTGCTTCTGCCAGCCTGGGGGCACCAGCAGGCACACAACATGGCACAGGGGCCTCCTGCCAACCCTGGGAGGTCTATTCTCCTCATCTGCACCTTGAAGAACAGTAGTCTGTGTCTCAGCACTGCTAGAAAGGGAATAGGAACTTCCTTATTTCTGTCTCCTCTCTTATTTGTAGGTACTATAAAAAGTTCTCTATTCCTGATCTGGACCGGTACCAGCTCTCCCTGGACGCAGCTGCCCTGAGCTTCACCCATGCTAACAACACCCTGATCATCACGGTGAGGTTTTGGCCATGCAGAACAGCACTTTGCCCTTCTCTTTATATCCCCAAAGAAGTTAAAATTCTTACACATGGGGAAATGAGGCAGAGCAGGGTGATCTGCTGAGGGTCACTGGTGAGCCCCCTTCTTCTCTGTCACACAGTTAGTGGGAGTTTCAGATTACACTGGGCATGCTGACACTAGCCAGGAGAGCTCAGGCTGCAGGAGGGGCCCTGCCTGCTGCTCAAGGTGACTTGCAGGTGGAAGAGTGTCTGTCGTGCCCTATTTTCCATGTATTCCCTCCCTCAGGCCTGAGCAAGCCTCCACTCTCAGTGACACTAAATTTCTTTTGCCTCAGAGCATGAGTCCAAGGACCTGCTGCATTTAGAGGTCTTGCAGTCTCAAAAAAAAAAAAACCCCACCAAAATCACCTGCTGCTTTGTATCAGAGGGGATGTTACACACATGGTGGAAAAGAGAGACTGGCAAAATGGGCACACACTCCTTGTTGCAAGGAGCAGGCAGAGACAGCCAGATGTTTTTGAGCAGCAGGTGCTTGTCTTCTTAAATGTAGAAGTCAGCTACCCTGAGGGCATGCCCTCCGCAGGAAACCTCGCAGCAGAGCTGGGGTGCACGTGCAGAGGAAACAGGCCAAGAGGGGCACCTTGAGCTTCTGTTTCCTATGGGCCAAACCATTGCCAAAATGCACCTGTATCTACCACTGAAGTGCAGCTGGGCAAGGGCCTCTGAGGGGAGGACAGAGGAACTGCAACTCTTACTTGTCTCTGCATTTAGAAAAAGC